TCCCAGCCCTGCTGATGGTTTGCTCTGGGCTCCAGAGTCCCAGCCCTGCTGATGGTTTGCTCTGGGCTCCAGAGTCCCAGCCCTAAACCCCTTCCCTTACAAGCCCCTCTCTCCCACAGGTGCGCTTCAGCCCCAACCTGGAGTCGCAGGGCTGGCTGGTGTCGGGCGGGCAGGCTGGCATCGTGCGGGCACACTGCCTGGCAGGGCTGGCCTCCAGCGTGGGCCACCAGCTGCTGGCCGAGTGCCGGGCCCGCTTCAGCCTCCTCTAYGGGGATGTACCCAGCAGCCCCGTGCCCCCGGAGCACTCCCCACGGCCACTGGAGTAGGGCTGTCACTGGTCACGCTGCTGCCACGKGCTCGCCCTGAGCAGGGCCAGGGCTGGGGCTACATCTGCTGGCCGGGTGCTGCTTTATGCTGGGTGTCTGCTGAGGAGGGATGGCTGCTCCCAGATGTTCCCAGGGATGCTCTGGACACGTGTCCTCATTCTCTGGGCCTGCAAGGGGATGCTCTGGACACGTGTCCTCGTCCTCTGGGCCTGCAAGGGGATGCTCTGGACACGTGTCCTCATCCTCTGGGCCTGCAAGGGGATGCTCTGGACACTTGTTCTCATTCTCTGGGCCTGCAAGGGGATGCTCTGGACACTTGTTCTCATTCTCTGGGCCTGCAAGGGGATGCTCTGGACACTTGTCCTCATTCTCTGGGCCTGCAAGGGGATGCTCTGGACACTTGTCCTCATTCTCTGGGCTTGCAAGGGGATGCTCTGGACACTTGTCCTCATTCTCTGGGCTTGCAAGGGGATGCTCTGGACACTTGTCCTCGTCCTCTGGGCCTGCAAGGATCTGTCTGCGCTCTTTGGTCTGAGATGGGCAGGGTCGATAGGACCCGAGCTGTGGGTCTGACCCCTCAGAACCCCCGTGGGCCCCACCGGTGTGGGGCTGTGCTTGTGCTCGCCTCCATCCCCACTGCCAAAGGGCAGGGAGGGGACTGGAGCTGTGGAGTCGCTCACATTGAGCTGTGTGCAGCCGTGCAGTAAACGTGGTTGGTTTTGTACAGTGTGGTGGTGCTGGCACTGGGGCACATGTGATTGGTATCTGTGGCTGGAGGGGCCCACCCACAACCCCACCATTTCCCTTCCCACTCTCCTCTGTCTCCTGCACTGCTGCTGCTGCTGCTCCAACACATTTATTGGCAGTGCTGGCACTGCTGCTGGCACAGACAGACATGGACAGGGGGCACAGACACAGCTCAGCACAGGGGATGGATCAGGCTCAGGCACAGCACGATTCAGATGGAGCCCAGGCAGTGGCACGGGGGGCTGGGGCCAAGGCCAGGTCTGAGGTCCCCCATGGGGAATGTCCCTTCCTGCCAGGACAGACAGACTCCTTGGGCACTGGTGATGGAGGATTCCACCCCTCACGAGCAGGAGTGGAAGATCCCAGGGAGTCTCTGTGCTCCGCAGGCCAGGCCATGTGTCCCTTCCCCCCAGGACCCCGCGTTGGTGTCACTGTCCCAGCACAGGGCTCTGCAGTAGTGGGATGGAGAGAGGGCAGGGTGGGATCTCAAGCACTGCCCTTCTCTAGGGCCAGGAGCTGGTGCAGGGCCAGGCCTGGTCTCAGAGGGTCTCAGGTGCGGGGATCCTGGCAGTGGGGACACTCTGCTGTCACCTCCTGGTGCCGCTCCACCTGCACTGTGCACAGGGCAAAGCCAAAGCTGCTCTGGAGCCGGGCAGTGACCTCCTGCAGCACCGTCTCAGGGTCAGCACTGGCATCTAGGAGGAGCAGGGCAGGGGTTTGTTCGTGGTGTGGTCAGTGGGACCCCCTGGCCGTGCCCTGCACCGGTCACTCACCCACAGCCACGTGCACCGACACGGCCGAGTGGCTCAGCGTCAGCGCCCAGAGGTGCAGATCGTGGACACCCCGCACSCCGCTGCTCCCCAGCAGAACCGCCTTCACCGCGTCGAAATCCAGGTCCCGTGGTGTCCCTGCAGCACCGCCTGGTCACAGAGAGCCCCCCTCGGCCACCCCACAGCCCCGGCCTGGGTGASGGCTCCCGGGGAAGCTGCTGGAGCCTGGGGCTTCCATAGGGGGACTGGGCTGGGCACGCTGGCTCTGGGGTGAAATAACCTCACCTTGGGGCAATGCAGCCGGCTGGGGTGGAGAGAGGGGCTGGGTGCATTCACATGGGGCAAGGACAGAGGAGCTGAGCTGTCTCATGGGCACAGTGCTGTGGCAGCTGCAGGTCTAAGAGCTGTGCCCACAATGCAGCTGTGGTGTCACACCCGACTCACACTCACCTTCCATGAGGATCCTGAAGACATCTCTGAGGATTGTGATGGTGGAGCCAAGGACAAAGACGGAGAAGAAGAGGGTGCTGATGGGGTCTGCGATCTTGCACTGGGGCTGCRGAGAGCAGGGTGGGGTCTGTGTGAGGCTGGGGCACAGCCCCCATGGCACCCCGTGTGGAATGGGAGAGCTGTTCCCACAAACAGCCCTGGAGCAGGCCAGCCTGGGCACCTTGAAGTAGATGATGGTGGCAGCCAGGAGGACGCTGACGCTCTGCAGCAGATCCCCCACCACATGGACGAAGGCTGCCTGCACGCTGGTGCTGCCGGGCAGGGCTCCGTGSCCGGGCTGGCRGCCCCCAGAGCTCTSCAGCCGCTCATAGCTCCCTGTGCCRTGGCCGTGGCCAGCCGGGGACTGGTGCAGGATGTAGGCCATGCTGGGGASAGCAGGGCTGCCTCAGTGACGTGCTGGCAGGCACAGGAGCCCCGCTGGCCCTGCTTGGGCGAACAGGGCACAGGCAGGCACCCCTGGATCCCAGGACAGCCGAGGGGAGCGGGGCTGGAGGCGCAGCAGGGCTGGGACGGGTGCAGGAACAGGGCAGGGATTTGGTCCTAGGGCTTGTGCCAGGGCTGGGAGGTGCTGCTTGGGGACAGGAATGTGCGGTGTGGGGGTGTRGACACAGACTGGAAACCCTGGAAGCATTTGGGAGACAGGGAAGTGAGGGCGGCAGCAGCTGGGGGGGGACACAGGGCTGGTGCACAGGGACAGGAGGTGACCTGAGGGCACAGTTTGGGTTCCAGGAGCACAGGCGGGGCAGGGCTCGGGCTGTCAGTGCGCGGGGATTGCACAGCCACACGTGGGACATACACGAGGTTGACACCAACGGCGCAGGCAGATGTGGCCAGCATGGCTCGTGCCTCRATTTCGTAGTCGTTGCTGATTATGCGGGCAGCTGCCAGGTAGACGAGGGCTGCGGTCACCACCCAGATGGAGAGGACAGAGGCCAGTGCACCCAGTGTCTCTGTGGGATGGGACCATCAGCACTCACCCCAGCCTGGCGGGTCCTGTGCAGACCTGAGGGCTGTGCCCCATCTCACCTGAGCGGTGCCAGCCAAAGGTCATGGTCTTGGTGGGCGGGCGGTTGGAGACCCAGAGAGAGAAGAGGCTGACGGACATGCTGCCCACATCTGTCAGCAGATGCGCTGCGTCCGTCATGACGGCCAGGCTGTGTGCCAGGTACCCGCCTGTGGGCACAGCGCAGCTGGCACCCGCTCAGGCTGTGTGCCAGGTACCCGCCTGTGGGCACAGCGCAGCTGGCACCCGCTCAGGCTGTGTGCCAGGTACCCGCCTGTGGGCACAG